ATGTCGATGATATGGTAATAACTGGAAGCAATTCTTCTATGCTGCGTTCTCTCATTGATCGACTGGCCAGAGAATTTTCCATGAAGGATCTCGGTGATCTACACTATTTTTTGGGGATTGAAGTAGTTAGAAATGACAAGGGTCTTTTTCTCAGCCAAGCTAAATATGCGCTTGATCTGTTGACTCGAGCAGAAATGGTCGATTGCAAGCCTATCTCAACTCCTTTTTTGGTGGGATCTCATCTAACCGATTCTGGTACTGCCTATTCAGATGCTACACAGTTTCGTTCTCTAGCTGGTGCATTACAATATTTGACCCTTACACGGCCAGATTTATCGTACAGTGTTAACTCTATATGTCAATATATGCATGCTCCCACTGTTGATCATTTTAGAGCCTTGAAGCGTATTTTACGCTATGTCAAAGGAACCTACCATTATGGCATGCAACTCTCACGGGATTCCTCTCAGACTTTGCTCGGCTATTCTGATGCCGATTGGGCCGGCTGTCCCGTCACTCGGCGTTCAACAACCGGATTTGCTGTTTATCTTGGCTGCAACCTAATCTCATGGTGCTCTAAAAAGCAAACTACCGTTGCACGTTCTAGTGCTGAGGCCGAGTACCGCGCTCTTGCCTCTGTTGCTGCAGAACTTTCATGGACACTTCAACTTCTTCGAGAACTCCAGATCACCCTCCCTTCTCCTCCGAGACTTTTATGCGACAACAATAGTGCCATATTCATTGCTTCCAACCCGGTCACCAAATCCCGCTCCAAACATATTGATATTGACTATCATTTTGTCCGGGAACTTGTTGCTCGAAGGGTTATTAGTCTCAGCTTTGTCCCCTCACACCTACAGCTGGCTGATGTTTTCACAAAAGCGGTGGCCAAATTACAGTTTTTATTGGATCGTGGCAAGTTGTGCGTTTTTCCTCTTTCTAACACGCCAACTTTGAGGGGGGATATTAGAGGACAGCCTGATTCCAATAATTAAGACCAAGATATCAGTGATTCTCCACAATTGTAGCAGTTTTGTTTTCTTTGTATATTTGTTTCCATATTTGTAATTGTATAGCTACCATGTATCTTCTGTCTATAAATGAAGATCTCCTCACAGCATATTGTGGTGAGGCATTTACTTCACAGAAGCCAACAAACACTGTGGGGACAGAATATGTCTTAAGAAGATAGTATAAATTACTATCATTGATTAAATTTAGTAATAGTTCATGTATGGCAGTCGAGTAAGTTTATCTATTTTACTATTTTGGTACATGACTTATATCATAAATATTATTAAGTAATGTATGTATATGATACATCCTCACCACATAGTGTAGTGAAAAAAAAATATATGGCAGATTGACTGATATTGATTCTAGTTAATGAAAAAGCACAATGCAAAAAAAAAAAAAATGCATGTTGGATCATTGAAACAATTCAAATTTCTTTAATAAAAATCAATTTGACCATGTTATTATTTTAGATTTTATATCTAACCAAATGATGAATGACTCTTAAAGGTTCACAGAAACTATTGTTGGTAGATGAAAATTACCCCCAAAATAAAAAGAGTAAAGTCAAATTCATTTGGGGAGAGAAAAGGTATTTGCTTAGAGTACCCCACAGAACAAAAAGAGGAGCAAGGATCAAAAAAAATTCTTTGAAAATTATCGAAACGTATTTCGAGATATTTTGTAATATTTCAATAAATTTACACAATTGTTTTAGAATATTTCAAAATATTTTATTATATTTTGACAAATATTTTGAAAAAATAATTTTAAATATTTTTATTCTTTTTATTCTGTTTCTGAAACCGGTCAAAATTGAAATTCTAATACTCCAATGTATTCTATAATATTTCGAGATATTTTGTAATATTTCAATCCATTTGCACAATTGTTTTAGAATATTTCAAGATATTTTATTATATTTTGACAAATATTTTGAAAAAATAATTTTAAATTTTTTTATTCTTTTCATTCTGTTTCTGAAACCGATCGAAATGTTTTTATTTTTTAAATGATCAAAATGATACATCAAAACAAAAAACAAAATTTTGACCCTAGAAGGGGAGAACCTTTCTCTTTGAAGATCAATATGACTCAATCGATTCCCATTTGATTTAATATCTTTTAATTTACTTTTTCATTGTGTCAAATTCGAGTCCTCACCCACAACAGTCCAAAAAGAGTGGACATTTTCTTTTGGGGATCAATATGACCCGATGGATTCTAATTTGATTTAATACCTTCTAATTTACCGTTTCATTGAGTCATCCAAAATATCATTAGCAAGTTTTTTTCTCCTCACCCAAAATGACCCAAAAAGGGAGGACCTTTTCCTTTGGGTATCAATATCACTAGACCGATTCCCACTTGATTTAGTACATTTTAATTTACCTTTTCATTGAGTTAAATTCAAGTCATCTAAAATATTATTAGCAAGTTTTTTTCTTCTCACCCACTATGGCCCAAAAAAAGTAGTACCTTTTTCTTTTGGGATCTATATGATTCGATTGATTCCCATTTTATTTTTTATTTTTGCATGGAGCATCGCCCAAATTGATTCCCATTAAATTTAGTAACTTTTAATTTCTCGTATTCACGAGTCAAATTCGAGTCTATCTAAAATATCATTAGCAAATTGGCTGAGATACCACAGAGAAGGGTGATCTAGTGGTACTGGTCTTCCTCTTCCTATAGAGATATGGAGAATTCAAGTTTTAAAATCTTTATTCGAGCTTAATAGTTGACCAATATGCTAACTAAGTTAGATTTGATCCCGAAAAGTGTTAGAGACATGATGAAAGACCTTATGATCTTTAAGAACCTATCAGACGATAGCGGTCGCTGAACACTTTTTCTTACTCTCACCCTTGTTTTAATCAGATTAAAAAAAAAAAGCAAATTGGCCGACACGGTTTTGCAATAGCAGGGTCGGGGGGGAGAGAGAGAGAGGGAGAGAGAATTGATGAAAATATTACAAAAACAGACAATGTCGCCTGCAAGATGGATCTAAAGATGGATCTAAATGGCCGACCACATAGTTTCTTAGAATTTCATAGTACATGCTAAGTCAAAGACTCAAATATTAAAATGCGTTTTCACAAACTCTTCGCTAGAGGTTGTAGACAACCACATTGGCGGCGCCGTTGGCCGGAGAGAAAGCCAAGAACATGAGAAGGGCCATTATCCCCACCGGAAACAGCATCAGCAACATCGGCGGAGGCGGCAATGGTGGCAGTATAGGCGGCAACACCAGTAGCGAAGCCGTCAGAATCGCCAGCACCACCA